GCCACTCAGCCCCGACCCGCACTGATGTAGCAAAGACAACAGTAACTGCAAGTGGCCATTGCATGAATAATAGCTCTAAATTACATACAGCTAAGGACTGAGCACGCAACCTACTTCGTTATGCAAGGCAAATTATCGACTACTGTGGCCTTGGTTGCCATGACACTACTAGACACAAAGTGCGTGAATGCTTCTACTGGAGAACTGCCTTCCACCCAACAAATGGAGGAAAACAGTCACAAAAGAAATGGGCGCAACCCGATCCTGTGGGCTTCCCAGCTGAGATTTCAGCCACAGACAGGCAACCAGCTGCCAAAGCGAAATCAGATCCAAATGAGGGCCGACATCATGGTTGGCTGAATGAAGACAGAATGAGCGCAAAGCAGTTTGGCACTAATTCCCACGCATACGAAAATAGTTCACCACAGAGGCAAGTCTAACAATAGAGGTAGCAAGGACGAAGAGTCGTGTCGATAAAGTCAACCAAATTGTAGAAATGACCAGCAACGATGACAATGATGATTCTAAAGAACCATCCGTGGAGACAAAATACGATGAGGGACTAGTGTCAACTGGCAGACAGGGGTGCGTCTCAGTCAACAGATAATGCAGTTGGGTGTTATTGGGCGCAAACCCACGTGATGTATACTTAAAAAGACGCAGAAAAGCCACAAAACCGTGGTCAAACGGAAATCCAGTGGAACAGGGTGCCTATGAAACAAGGTTGATTTCACTGTAGTAGGCTAGTTTTTCAGAATACTTAAACATTGCGTGAAAGGATATTGTCTATTGGGTGAGCATGTAGTCGAAGCAGTTGAGGCCAAGTCATAAGGAGTGATATGGAATACACAGCCAGTACGCTACAGAAGACTACGAAGGCCAAAAATAGAGCATATAGTGGAAAAATGTCAATTTTCGGCAACTAAAACGCTGCACATGTTATTCATTCATCTAGCCTATTGCAAAAAAGTGTCCTCTTCGCATGAAACATATGTTTAAAAATACTAGTAAGGATCCATCGTAGACCCAACCCAAATGTCTTACGCAATTCGTTGTAAAAGGTTTAATGCTTGACTAATGTGTGTAAAGTGCACGGTTGGAAATAAATTAAAGCTACTTGTTTCACATAACTAAAGCGCAGGTAAAACGTGGTAGAAATAACAAAAAAATACGAAGAAAAATGTAAGAACAATCCTATTGGATAGCAAAGGGAGCCTACAGGCTAAGAAACCATTGGAACACCTCCGACTTGTTAAAAGGAAGCCTATGGACCAAGAAAACTATTAGAGCAACTCCTATCAGCATTAGGCAGTCCCACTAGGAATCCTTACCAACGTTACCTTGTATTTTGACGGTTTCCTATACTAATAGATAACCCAGACTAAGGTTGAGCATTTTCGCGTGTGTTCCTCTAAGAGATGGGAGTAACCCAAACTTGTAAGTTTTACCACGCGGAAAATTCCGCACTTTAAAATTGAATTTTGTTTATTCATGTAAATCAGATGAACCGAAGTGCAAGAAAGCAGGTTATTTCTAGAAACGTGGGCGTGTCATCAATTTAAAGAAAAACAGATTTGCAAATCTGCGTGCTTTTATGTCCTAAAAGAGAGTAATAAAGTCTACTAGCAACCCCAACACTGATTCTGCTCTTTGCACACGCTCTAATGTGTTTCTTTGAATCGGCCGTTCATTAAATTAATGTCTTTCGCCACGTAAATCAGATGGAGGAAGATGTAAGCAAACAGGTTATTTTAAGAGGACCAGAAGTTTAACCGATTTTAACAATCCAGATTCACAAACTCATGTAATGTCATACTCGAAAACGCAGCAATAACATCTAACCAATATCCTACCACGAAACAGCCCTCTACAAAACGCTATGTTAAATTTGAAACATATGATAAGACACACTTGTATTATTTAGTTTCCGCTAATGTGTAAAATATAAATATAAAAATGAGCTCTTTCTCTTGCAGCAGAAAAAAAAATAATTTTTCAGGCATGGGAAAAATGATCAAAGGTCCCGAGTCTCTATGTACCTTTGAATTTTTTTCGGAATAATCCACTTTTTTAAAAAAAAATACTTGTATGCCTACACAATCTATTATTTTTTAGGGTTCGCATATGACTTCTATTCGCGTAATGTCGGTCATAATGGTTTCAAAGCTTTGGCCCATTTGTTTGTGAATGATTACCAATCTTTTGTAAAGTTCGGCGCCTTCCACTATGTAGATCACGTACTGAATGTGTTTTTGTGTCCTCAGTCCCTTTAATTGCATCGGTATACTTAAAAAAACACAGAAAAGTTTAAAACTGTAATCAGTCGGAAATGCAGTTGGGCAGAGCATTCATGAAACAATGCAGAATGCTAAGACTAGGTGAGGTTGTGGCCAAAGCCAAGTCATAAGGATTGATGTGAAATTAACAGCCAGTGCGCATATACAAGACCGCGAAAACGAAAAATACAGCATGTAACCTACCAATTGAAAAGTTATAACGGAAGTGGAGAGGATCAATACTGCACACTTTACTCACCCGACCTATTGTAGAAAATAGCCTTTTTGCATGCATAACATGCTCAAAATCAAGTTCAACAATGTCAAGAGGTATACAACCCTGAGCGGAAAGCGATGCTACCTTGCATTTTGACGGTTTCTTATACTAATAACTAACCCAGACTAAGGTTGAGTACCCGCGCGCGCTTTTCTTCGAGAAGAGAGTAATTTAAACCCGTAATTTTTTTCAGGCGGAACATGCCACAAATTTTTTTGGCGATAAATTAGATGAATCAAGGTGCAAGAAAGCAGGCTATTTTTAAAAACGTGGGCGTTTTATGGATTTAAAAAAACTGCTTTGCATATCTGTATCATCTGACGTCCCAAAACGCAGTACTAACTTCTACTAGCATCGTCACTATGAACATCCCGACGTTTTTTTGATTTAGTCCTGCATGTTACGATAAATAAACCCCGCCCCCATCAATAGCAACGTTACGTTGTAAGCATATTTTAAAATACCTGCTATTTGATCTAGTTTCTGTTGATGCGCAAAATAAGTAATGGAGCGGAAAGAAGATTAACATTTAGTGTATTCAGCGGGGATTTGTATCTAACACCCCTCAGCAACACGTTATTGTCAAGACACCTGTGCAGAAACCGGATCTGCGAATAGGCCAAGGCCTCACGAAGGGTCAACGTTTCCCATCGTCGGGCCGCTCGAAGCGCATCGCGCCCAAATCAATTGCCAAAA